CACGCACGCACGCACGCACGCACGCACGCACGCACGCACGCACGCACGCACGCACGCACGCACGCACGCACGCACGCACGCACGCACGCACGCACGCACGCACGCACGCACGCACGCACGCACGCACGCACGCACGCACGCACGCACGCACGCACGCACGCACGCACGCACGCACGCACGCACGCACGCACGCACGCACGCACGCACGCACGCACGCACGCACGCACGCACGCACGCACGCACGCACGCACGCAGGCACGCCCGCACGCAGGCAGGCAGGCAGGCACACACCTACACCTTTGTAAGTATTGAGTGATAAATTTCCAGCTGGCTTTGGTAAGAATGCAGGGAACAATGTAGCTATTTAAACACAATGTGGCTGAACTCTGACTCCTGGTGCTTTGACCTTTCATCAGCTTTGCTTTCCTGGGATGTGAGAGGTTAGCTTCTAAGCGTTGTTGGGTTTATCTGTGGTGCTGGGAGGGACCCAAGTTTCAGTGTCTGCAGAGCTTTGTGCATGTCTTTGGAATTCTGGCTTTTCCACATTTGATATGTCATGCCCTACCACACGACCCAAGAGAACTCTCATTGCCATTAAAGTATCAGTTTGTAATGACTTGTGTTTATGATGTTTTTCCACCTTGCTGATGTTTTTTTAAACTTGGGAGTTGAGCATAGTGGTACAGACCTACAATTCTAGCATTTAGGAAGCAGAGACAGGGGGATTACTTCAAGTTTGAGACCAGCGTGAGCTATTTAGTGAGTTCCAGGCAAGCCAGGACTACAGAGTGGAACTTTCTTTCAAAACCAAAACCAAACAAAAACCTTTATTGATTCCAGCTGGTGGGTAACAGCTGTTCCACACTGAGCATGCCCAGAAGGAATTGTCAGCTCAGTCATTTGTCTCCCCTTTGCCAATGTTTCTTCCTGGCCTTTTGGTTCTTCTGCCCAGGGTCTTGGCCTTCACACTTTGTGGCTGTTTGCTGTCTTCTTGGGCATCCCTTGGCAGCCTTGCCCCAGGTTGCCAGCACAGCCCCTAACAATTACACCATGTGTCTCTCATTCCCAAGGACAGTCCTCTTCAGCACTGTCCGAAAGCCCTGGTCTGATGTCATCCCTTGCAACTATGAGATGAAGCACATCCTCAAGGAGCTGGTGCGGGTCAAGGCCTTCCTGCTGGCAGGGACCACTGTGACTATCGTAGAGGAGAAGGTGGGCAGAGCAGTGGGCTCTAGCCTCTCATTGGCTGGAGAGTTGTGTCCACATCCTTTCCAGTGATCTTTTTGTTATCATGTTGTCATATCCCTGCTCCCTCCTTCATTACCTCTCAGGGCCTTTTCAGAAAGGACAAGGTGGGCTGGGGCCCCAGTAACCAGCCTCCCCTGCTCACCTCAGCCTAGATCTTGTCCTCTAGACCCTCTCCTGGCCTGTGATGCCAACTCCTGTCGAGAGTCCCATGTCTGGCAAGAAGGGGAAAGGAGACAAGAAGAAGAAAAGAAATAAACAAAAGGCAGTGGCTGCCAAGGTAACTGCAGGGCCTGCTTGGGTCATCTCAGGGCAGGGAAGGGAGTGTGGCCCAGTCCTGCTCACACCTGTGCTTGTGGCCACAGGATAAAAAGGGACTCAAGAAGAAAAGGGAGATTCCCAAGGAGCTTCGCCGGGACCCACCCGTGCTGCGTGTGCTGGGTAGCGGCCCGGTGTTCCTGGAACCCTTGCTGGCAGGGGAGCCAGCAGTGACCACTGTGTGTAATTTTGGGGTGGTCCGCACCCCTGATTCTGACAAGCTGACTTATGCCAGGGTACTGAAGGACCCTTGGTCTTGCCTTTTCGTCTCTGCCTCCCTCTTTCTTCTTTATGGATGGCTTGCTGGGCCAGGCAGGGATAGGGTGCGGTCGTGGGTGGTGACAGGGGCCCGTGGAGGGGCCCTGGTTGTGTGTCAAGGCTGCAGCACACCTTTGATGGCCCAGGTCAACCACCTCCCTCAGCAGGAGCACCCAGTTCCTGGATGAATCCAAGCCCAGGGAGGGGTGGGTATCCTCCAGAGTCAGCCTCTGGGCTGCCATCAGTTCCAGCAAGCCCCTGGCTTTGTGGTTCTTTCAGGATTCAAAGAAGACAAAGAAAGTTCCCAAAAAAGGTAAGTACCACCAGTGGCCACAGAGGCCAGGGTGGGGACTGAGGCTAAGAACCACAAGAATAAGGGGACTGAAAGTGACTTCCATCCTGCTCAGAAGCCACTCTAGAATTGTCCGGATAGCCGCTGAAGCATGGCTGCCAGCTGCAGGATGATGTGCTGGGAAGGGCATTGGGGTGGGAACTGGGCTCCGTTGCGTCTTCCTGGCTCAACCCTGCTTTCCCAGGCCTATACTCTGTGAAAACCTGCAGTTCTCAGCTGGATCTGTCTTATGTTGGAGTTTTTAGCTTCCTTCCTTCACCTTCCCCATCCATCCCCTTCTTTCTTCTTTTGTTTACCTCAGGATTCCCCTGCCTCAGTTTCCTATGTGTTAGATTTGAGAGTTTTTGTTGTTATTGTTGTTGAGTCAGGGTTCTGTCTCCCTGACCAGGCTGGGACTCACTATGTAGATCAGGCTAGCCTTGAATTCACAATTAGTGGGGCACCATTAAAGTACTTAGAGATTAATTTTTAAGCATTAGGTGTCTTTAGTTTGACTTTTCTAAGAAAATAAAAGTGCAAGCAAATGAGTCCCCAGGGACATACGGGCTGCAGGTCTCCCCAGCCCTGGACGTGCACCTCCCTCATCCTGAAACTTCAAGCCCCATTCCCGGTCTTTGAGGAACTCAGCTTCCGCAAGAGATCAGTAAGGCCTTGAACGTTAGCTGTAATAAAGAATAAGTTCAATTGCATCTCTTGAAATCATTGAATAAGACCCAGCTTTTTGAGTTGCAAAAGAAATTAGGTGTTTTTACTGCTAAGCCTAAAAACCTGAGTTCCATCTCCCCACCCACTTGTCCCTCTGACATCCACTTTCAAGCCACGGCCCATGCACAAAGTAAATATATAAATAATTTAAAAGAAAGAAAAAGAAGAAAAGACACTGAGATTAGGGCAGTGGTGGCAAAGACCTTTAATCCCTGCACTCAGGAAGCAGAGGCAGGGGGTCTCTGAGTTCCAGGCCACACTGGTCTACAAAGCTAGTTCCAGAACAGCCAGGGCTACACAGAGAAACACTGTCGGGAAGAAAAAAAGAGACTGAGGATGTAGCTCAATTCGTGGAGCGCTTTGGTGGCCCTAGGTTTGCTTCCAAGAACTCTATGAAAGAGAAAAAAAAATTGTAGAGTGTTTTGTTTTGTTTTTGAGGAGGTCTCACTTAGTCCTGGCTATCCCAGAACTCTCTTTGTAGACCAGGTTGGCCACAAACTCACAGAAACCCACCTGCCTCTGCCTCCCCAGTGCTACGATTAAAGGCATAGGCCACCAGGGCCCAGCCTCTTGTTTACTTCTTGAGACAGTTTCATGTAGCCAAGGCTAGCCTTAAACTCAGGTAGCTGAGGGTAATCTGAAACTCTCAATCCTCCTGCCTGTCCCTCCCAGGCTGGCACCACCATGCCAGGCTTGAAGTTTTTCTAAACGGAGAACAGGGCTTGAAGTTTCAGGATGAGGGAGGTGTGCACGTCCAGGATTGGGGAGACCTGCAGACCATATGTCCCTTGGGACTATTTGCTTGCACTTTTATTTTCTTAGAAAGGTCAAAAACGGCGATTCAAACCTTGGAAAGCACGTATCAGCCGGAGCCCCTGACTGTGGAGATCCAGATCCAGATGCTTCAGTACCGCTCGGTGGAGGAAGCATTCCTCAGTCTGATTTGACTA